CCAGAGCTACCAGGAACATTTTTTATCGGTCTACTGGTAGCTAGAGCAGATTTGGAAAGAAGCACACCTGATCAGGCAACACTCACCACTGAGAGGGAAATGATGTGAGGGTCCCTCGAAAAGAATACAAATAAACACAAAAGAAATGAAGTCCCTCCCCAATCTCACAATGTAAATAGTACATTGAGAATAGTGGGGGGGGGGTCAAAAACCATCTGAAGAGGCAACTGTCAAGTCATGTAAATAATGAGATATATATTAGGCATGATCTACATACTAGCCTCTACAATCTCAACCAAACTACCAGGGACATCAAGAGATGAAGAGATGAGACCCAAAGAAGTTTCTGTTCCTCCAAAGAACTCCCAGAGTATGCAATACGAACCAGTTCACGAACCCAACCTGTCAATGTCACAGGGGATAAGTCATGTGACACTGTAGGATCCCAATGGAGAAGCACACTGTGACATGAACCCCGAAACTCGACAGTGTTTGCAACATAACATTGGAGAGCCAAACCAGGCATAAAAGATGATACAGATCCCAGCATTCATTAAAATGAGCAATGTGCAATTAGACCAACCCATCTCAAAAGGGTTAACAGATAAGAGATCACTCATGAAAGTTTTTGATAAATTCTCTTATTTGAACATTCATGCCTAAATAAAAAGAAAATACAGAATCCACACGTTATGTGCCTCATCTGGAATTTATCTACCTTACAAAAATTGTCTAGTGTTGTAGATTACAATGCTATTTATATAATATGTTGTTCATTGAAATTAAAACAGGATACTACTGTACCTGTAACTGCTGATATTCTTGTTGTAAAGCTTTCACATTCGAGAAATTATTGACAGGTACAGGGCCCAAGCCTACTGTTTGGTTATAAAGTCTTTCTAGTTGAGAATGGTAGGGATTCATTAATGTGCTACCATCACTTGCTCTCCGACCAATACCTTAAACATAAAAAAAAAAGTTGGGTGTACAAGCACATCAATGTTTACAAGGTACTCAGATTTAAAATATATGGCTTTATGTTCCAAAAAGTGAAATAATTCTAAAATACCTCCTTTACTTCTAATTGTAATTCCTGATCTTAGAACAATAAAAACAACAATAATAAGAATAAAAATATCCACCTGTTTGAACCAGATGGTTTAAAATTTAAAATGAAAAGCTCTAAAATAAGGAAAACTTTTGGTGTTTGATAGTTTTCATCATTTTCATCAAGTTGGAAATTAACATAACATAATATTTTGGGACAACATGACACCTATTGGTCCATCTCCGCCGTTCCATCCTCTAAACTAAATTAAAATGATTAAAAAAAGTTAAATAAAAAGATTTTAAACCCAGACTTTTTCATTCATATACTTATCAAGCTTTTTTCTTAACCTCACTTAAATTTACTGCCTCTACAACATCTGAAGGCAACCCATTCCAAAGGCCAAACACCATGTTTGAAAAATAAAACTGTCTTGGCTGAAGATGACTCCTACCTTGCCAAAATTTATATTTTTGTACCCTAGTCCTACTATTCTCTTTGCTAAATATAAAAAAAATGTTACATCAACACTATCAAATTCCCTTTACAATCTTAAACAGCTCAATCAGATCCTCCCCAACTCTTCTTTTTTCAAGAGAAAACAATTTGAGAGATTTAAGCCCTCGTCGTATGATAACCCCTCCATCCCAGGCAACATTCTAGTAACCTTTCCCTGAACCCTTTCCAACAATTCAATGTCCTTCTTAAGGTAAGGAGCCCAAGACCAATATTCCAAATGTGGCCTAACCAGTGACCTGTATAATGAAAGTATAACCTCTTTAGACTTGTATTCAATATTTCTATAGATACAACTTAATATCCTATTTGCTCTACCACTAGCAACAACACACTGCTTAGATGGCTTTAGAGACTGATCGACCATAACACTAAGATCCCTTTCCTTCATAACACTACTCAGGTTATTCCCATCCAAATTATATTTCTAATTCAAATAATAATAACCCACATGCATTATCTTGCATTTATTATAATTAAAACCCATCTGCCATTTAATTGCCCAACTCACTAAATGATCTAAATCCTTTTGTAAATCAGAATCATCCTCTTCACAGCTAGCAACACCCAAGACCTTAATATCATCTGCAAACTTAAGTAATTTATTAACTATCCATTCATCTATGTCCTTATAACTACTTCTATACTATACTAAACTTTTCTCTGCCTCTTATTCTTTTTTGCATTCAGTTTTTGCTGGCCCTCACCACTGTCTAGTCCTAGCTTAAAACTTCCCTTACAGCTGAGTTAATAGCCTTAACAAACAAGCCAACCTCTACTCTATGTAAATGTAAAGCATCCATTGCAAAGAGCTCCCTTCTTCCACTGAACTGATCCCACAAGTCCAACCAACCAATATGCTCATCCTTACATACTACTCTAAGCCCAGCATTTAGCCCTAATGACCCACTTACAACTTCATCCCCACAGTTAATTCTGGGCAATATCCCTGACAAAATTAAGTTATGGCTGTTTTATTTAAGCCTTTATCAACCCATTATACTTATTAATTAGCACCTCTGACCTACCTTTCCCTACATGTACTACAAAAACTGCATCTCCGCTAGCCCTTTTTGTTATATCTCTTGCTCTGTCAGTTATATCTTATCCTGTGCCTCTGAGTAGCACAATCTGATTCTTTTCTCCCTATTTACCCCACAGACTATTCTATCCACACGCTTTATCAAGAATCACCTATAACTATAACCTCTGTATCATCCGCATCCTTCTCTGACCCTTTTGTTTTCCTTCCCTCCAATAGTTCCCCATCTGCAGAAGCCAAGGGCTGAAATTTGTTCCTCAACAAAATAGGCTCATTATAACTAAATTCACCATTTTTAGCCCTAACAGTACTCTTTCTAACTTCCTTAAAGTCATTGTTATCCTGCTGCCATTTCCCACAATCTACACTTCTCTTTATCTATTGCATCTACTTTAATCATGATTGCCTCTAACTTTTCCTCCAACCTACAGACTCTACATAAAAATTGTACATCATCATTACTAGCTTCCTTAAAAGTACATTCCAGTTCTAACCTAACAAACTGCAAACACTTAATTCCCACATTAGTCGTAACCATTGTATTTATACTGTTACAGCCTGAAAGTGAAAATAATACTCAATACCAAATACAATAGCTTATTGTTAACACTGTTACTGCTAAGCTTTAAAAAATTAAGCCCTATGCAAAATAAGAAACAAATCTTATTCCACTCTTACCTGAAACAGTGCATTGCATTTTACTACTGAGTAAAGAATGATTTTGTAAAATGCACATAACAGGTCACAACCCTACTAAAACATTCATCTCTATTAGATATATAATAAAAATAGAAACTATATTCAATCTAATTTCAAGTTATTACACAAATACACATATACTTTTAAGACTGATGTATCACAACATTAATATTTCCAAAACTTCCACAGTTAAAATCTCCAATCAGTAAATGAAACAACTTTTCTAAAGAGGGTTCATTTCACAATTTGTTAAAGCTGTGGTGTGTCACTGCTAAAGCACTACAAATGACATATTGACCATATACTTCATTTAGAGCACAAAATGTTTAACTATTCAACCATGCAATGCAGCCTTGAGTAGACTCACAACTGAAGAATTATTTCACACTGGGTTCATAAGTATACACATGACTTTAGAAATAAAACAACATTAAGTATAGGAGTAAAGAAACTTTAACACTTGTTTTACTACGCATAACCATGTAATTGTACTGATGGAGTTTTTAATAATGCAGTGATTAAAAAATACATTCTTATTTCTATTACCTACTAGTATTTTCAGAGACTGAAACAGTCAAGTGTGTCCCAGATAAGGCTCTAATCATCCAAATAAATACCTCCTTAGTGCATCTAAATTATATTGTATTATAATTCAAATGCCTCTACTCTACACATTAATAAAATTATATAGTTGAGGTAGAAATACCTTTGCAGAAATAGAAAAAAACATACAATCACTTGGTTATCATTAAAGTTAACATTTTCCCATACCAACAGTGTATTTCCGATAATACTTACCACTGCTTACACTATAGCTTTATCCTGACAAAAATTACTCTTATCTGCCCATCTAAGCATTGGTATAAATCTTACCTCACTTGCTCCAGCCTTTATACCCCACTATATTGCCCACAGCACATTAAATCTTGTGATTCTCTCCACCTACTTCAATGCATCCCTATCCCAGATCTGTATATAATATATTACTGGAGATTACTGGACCTTTCTCGTCTCACCCAACCAAAAGAAAAAGAGATTACCCAGCCTGGGATTACAAACAAAAATACTAACTCCCCAACCTAAGAGGCACAATAATACCTCTTGCCCCAAGAATTATGAGGAGGATGTGAAACAAACAAAATCAAACCAATGGCACAGGAATTGACGCTCTGCACGCAGAATTACAAAGAGTTGAGGATCCTCTTCCATGATCATCAAAATGAAAATAATGTCCAAAAATAGGGCCACACTCAACTTGACCGGATAGCTAAGTGTCATTTCTGAACCATAATTATAAGGAGGCACTGACATAGGCTTGTCCTGCTCCAACCATATATCTGGGAAAATCACACCAGGTTATTTGTAGGAGTGCACCCAGCTTGCCCTTTCCTCCTTCAGTGCCAGAAATTCTCACCTGATCCCCTGCAAGCTCAGATTCTAACTCCACAGAATAAAAACATCAGACCTTGTGTGATACTCCATCTCTATGAGTATGAGGGACTGGACATCCTTCACAGAAAGGGGACATCCCTCTGATACCGAATAACACTAATCTCCAGAGGTGGCAGAGTAGGAGAACTAGGCAACTGCATGTCAAAATTGTGAACTTGTGGAATGATATCTGAAAACGTCTCAGAAATAATTTTTTTTATATGTAAAATAAAGAAAACAGACAACAAACTAGTTATAATTTTCCTATAGTGAAATTGTATTTCCGATAAGTACTTCCCTCCACTCACAAGATTAGCTATTCTCGTCCAGTGCTTCCCTCTACATGGAAATTTTTCTTTACACATGCCACAAACCATTTGCTCCCCCCTATTGGAATCGAATGATTCCAACAAGTCTCTCATGTAAATTATCATGCGTCACTTCTCCACCGATAGGAGCATGACATATAAGTGTTGCAAGTGACTCCCTCTATACACCTCTACTAAACTATCACTTCTTGTTTGCAGCACTCATACTTTGTTTGTTTTCACTTCTAGTTTTTATTAAGACTGTTTCTTAACTTCACTTTAATCCCAGTTTATCACTTCGAGGTTTGGTAGAAGATGTAAGCACTGGAGGAAAGTGGGGAGGAAGGGTGGGTTAGAAATACATTTTCAGCATAGGAAAATTATAACTTCCGATACGGTACTTCCCTCTTCTCACAAAATTAGCTAGAATCCCATACTGATTAGGTGGTGGGACCAATGCAAGGGAATGACAGAAGTATCCTTTAAAAGTGTCTGAAGGACATTCCTGGAAATGAGAGAGTTGGACCCGAAAATCTGATGAGGGGAACAGCACCACTTCTGAACCAGGTATACTCTATGCCCATCTGTGAAATGTGTAGTAGATAAGGAGTATGATCAAAGGAGGAATATAGACAACATAAAGATGTGTGAGAACTTATGTTGATTGGTTCTACTCTAAATACAAAACCCAGCCATGGGGTACTGACATCTATGTGGGGGAAGGATGAGAACTCTCAATCAAAGGGGTGAACTGCAATTTGACGTCTCACTCCTTTGTGAATGTATACTGCATATTGGAGGATATCACAGAACATCACTGCCCTGAATGGTTATAGCCATCTTTGTGTGGAACCCATTCAGGAGGGTGCCTTCACAGTCGACCACCCCAGCAGCTTGGAACTAGAAAGTGGTATG